ACTTGGTCAACTTTGACTTTGGTTGACTTCTGACAAAATGACCATTTTCCCCCTTTTGATCAATTGAATCTCTTCCAACCAAAATTGGCACTCAATCCTTCAATCATAGGTGTTTATTAACATGTAGAGAGGCATGGAATCAAGTTTGGGTCAAAAAGTTAGAGAACTCCTAATTAAAATCAAAACCATAATTTTAGCCCTTTGTGCCAGGAAATGGTGATCATTCTTCAAAACCTTCATTCCTCTAGACAAGTTAAGAGATTCTTTGAACAAAGAAGCTTCATATGATGATGAGAAGATGATACTTCACAAATTTTACTCCTACAAGCCTCAAACTCTTCAACTGTTCAAAACCCTAATTTGAGTGATGAATAGAAGAAAATGTGATCCAGTCAACACTTCCAATTTTGAACTTCTGATGAATCAAAGAGACAATTGAGATGTATTGGGATATGAGAAACTCTTGTAGCTCGTTAAATTCAAATATTGAGGGTATAAGACCTTTCTTGTCTTGACTATCAATACAATGAACCTTTCAATAGCTTGTATAATAACTTAGGAACCCAGATACCTTGATCCTATCATTATAATGCATGAGTATGTAGGATGAACATAAGCCAATAAAATAAAATGAAGAGGACAAATTTTGTGGTGCAACACGCGTATCAAAACATATGATCAAATATTCACCAAAAGAAAACCTGATCGACAAAGGGATTGGCAAAGTCCAAATTCGCCTTCCTAACTTGATTACTATTTCATAGTTAATGATAATAATTCAGTTTTAACAATATGTTAATGGATTTTACACTCAACATATTATATTTCTGGTAAATTAATTAGACTGTAGATCAAACAATAAGATACTACACAAATAATGAATAAGATACCACTTATTCCCCCCTTACCTTATATTTTTCCAACAATTCTTCAAGTCTTCCATGGGGTTCTTCTTATGTCTTAGCTCTCCAAACTTGTTTTCAGTACTGTCAAACTCCACTTCCCAATTCTCTCTTTCATTTTAATTTTTAATCCTTATAATTATGTTTTTCCTATTTTACCCTCAATTTAACCCATCTAATCACTACTTCGCCCTTAAGTTCCTCTCTAATTTCCACCCTGTCCTCAATGTTACTACAATCTCTATTTTCTTATTATTTTATTTTATTAATAAAATTGAATAATCATTTTAAATTAATAAAATAACAATTAAATAAACACCACAAAGTTACAATTAAATCAAATAAATTAATTTCTAAAAAATAAGGTGTTACAACAGTAGTACTGACACATGAACTAAAAATTGCACATAGATGTCATACTCTATGATGCATGCAATACCATGCGTCATTCCCTCTAGCGCATATACTATTGGACTAAGAGGAGGCGCCACCCCCCCTGACACCATAGTGTATTCTTTTTTTATATTTTATAAATAGAACTTCATTCTCCATCATTTTCCACACATCTTCTCATTTCATTCTTCATTTTTTCTTCTAATTTTCTAACATGATTATTAAAAGAGATGTTCGTGTTTGTTTTTCCATTCTCAAGCCTCCGATGAAGATTCGACTTTGGAACATACAGACTTTCAAGCATCTGGAAAGGATCTTGATCTGTTGGTTAGACAAAGATGTTAAAGACGGTTAAAAAATTAGAAGAATTAATATGCTTTTTTTGGTGTTCAACAGTGCAAATGAGAATAGCAAACCAACCCGGTTTTGGAAATCAGTTAAAACTGACAGTGATTTTCGTGTTATGATGTTTGAACCAAATGATATTGTTTGGTGATTGTAATCTCTTAAATATGTTATATTACTAAGTCCTTTTATTTGTTCTCCGTGTTGTTGTTTTTTGTTATGCGTGTTTTTGTTTTGTTGTAATCGAAAATTGTATTCAATATGAAATTCCATGTTTACAAAAATTAAACATATCAAGAGTGCATACAATAACTATGTTGTGGAGCTTGCCCCAACATTGGGATAATTTTTCCAATTGTGTCTGAACTGACGACATGTATCACAAAATCTTACCATTTTATCATTCATATCCATTTATGTTCTAATACATGTGTTGTTGGGGCGACCATTTTTCTTCCTTCGTATATTTTCATTGTGCCAAACGATGTATCCTTGATATGTAGGCCAATAATCCTCCTCTTATACCACTAGGAAGATATTTTTGTATACATTGAATACATTTATAACTTTATAAATGAGGGATAAATGCTTGGAAGGGTCGGAAGGGTCCCGACGAGCATAAGAACACCACAATGACATGAGAGAAAGGCATACAAAAGGCTTGAAACTTTCTACAGTCGCACCAACCTCTATTTAGTTCAACCCGATAGTATACCTTTAGTCTCCCCTCATTATGGTCCATTATCTCTTGTACATTGAAAGTGGGATATTAATGGTCAAAGATTGTAATCCCATGCGTGTTAGATTTGGCAGTTTCCTTCTTAATAACTTTCATACAACTTTCATTGAACAACTGCTTCATTTGTAACATTGAAATCCACTTTGAACCTTTGGTTGGGAAGAATGAACCTAACCTTAAATACTTTTCTCTTATTGATGCGGTTATCGGTAGGTTCCTGATGCCTTTAAAGATATAGTTCATTGATTTCATAAGATTTATTGTCATGTGGCCCTGTTGTTAACCATTGTCAAATATTCTGGTCCACTTCTCCATATGAATATTATCGAACCACCTAAACGCATCTGCATTTAACAATATAATCTCTTCACAATAGTGTTGGAATGATGGTTGAGTTAAAGAATATTCTGCATTCACAACTTTTTTCCAAAATGTCTTGTCTTCGATCTCCCACATGAAGTTTTGTTAAATATGTCTAATGCAGTTGACATGCGTAGAAGGAGGATCTTGCCAAATGTTAACAGGGTTTATGTATGCACTCTCAATAGATGGGTGTATATCTAGAATCAAATATATATTAGGTTATAGAGCAATGTGTATTCGATGATTCTTGAGAAAGAAGCTTCATCCACCAAGAGTGTCAGCTTCAACCAGAGCGAAGAAAATTGGAAAGATATTACTTTTTCCATCTTATGTCAATGCCATTAGTAACGTTCCTTTATATTTCCCGTACAAATATATTCTATCAATTTTAATAATAGGTTTACATAACACAGAACCTTTGATGCATGGTTGATACGCTGAGAAGAGTTGATGGAATATTCTATTTCCACTAACACAAATTCTGTATGGGGTAAATGCTAACAGTGTCTCCAAAATTGCAACAATTTTTGGAGCATATGTCTTAAGTGCCACCAAATATTGTGGAAGTTCTTTGTACGAATCATCCCAATTTCTGTAAACTTGTTCAACAATGTTAGTTCTTGTTATTCATGCCTTCCTATATGAGGGAGTATAATTGTATCGTGTAAAGATATGGGAGATTATTGTACTCACCTTCACTGACGAATCATTGCTAACGAGAGGCAATATTTTTTTGCATATTATCCGAGAGCTTAGTTTACGGTGATTCTGCATCAGATTGATAGTAATGCAAGTGTGAGGTAGGTTCATATATGTTAGCTCCCAAGAATCACTTCTCTTTTTGTAAGGCGTTGTCAAGTAAAACATGCAGAGCACGTCACAACACAGAATGACGTACATCCCTGTATCAGTATAATCTTTAGTAAAATCAATAGAGTTTTCCATATGAAACTTTTTTTATAGCACTCACAAAGTCTTCTTCTGTACAGAATATGTCTCCCACTTTTAACACTCCATTTGTCTGTATATATATATATATATATATATATATATATATATATATATATATATATATATATATATATATATATATATATATATATATATATATATGGGTTCTAAAAGATATTTGAGGATGACTCGTCTTCATCTAAGTTCAAGTTTTTTATGTGCTCCGGAGGATAATACACATGACTCGAAGGTAATGGTTCCTGCTCATGGTCTACATAGTCATCGCTTACCAAATAATCAACCAATGTCTCGTCTTCTTCTTTTTCTTCATCATCGACGACATTGACTTTGGTTTGGTTGTCGTCACCACTGTCGTTAAAAACTTATGACTGATCAACAATCTGATACAATTGATACTGTTGAGGTTGTTGTAGTAAAATATACAACTCAATATTGTTGAACCCGAAATGTTCATGACTGCGAAACATATTTTGAACATCTTCATCATCTTGAACCTTTAGCTAAAAATATTTGACTTGGTTATTGTAAAAAAAAACTAGATTTTTGTAAAAGAATTGTGATTTTGGACCACACTGCAACTTCACCTTTATTCTCTCTTTAAAATGCGACACATTTGATCTTTTATTTATTGTAAATCGGATAATATTGATATTATGAAAATTAAACTTAAATATTTTATAGTCAAATGTCTCACCATTGACGTGAGCATTGATAATATATTGTGGTGTAGAAGCCATTTTATGGAAATTTTAGTTTGATAGTAGTGTATTTTGATTTGAGAGTAGGATAATTTAACGCATCCGCTAGAGGGTATGACATCTATGTACAATTTTCACTGCATGCGCCCGTACCATTAGATTAGCGCCTCCTCACAAATTTATTTTGTTTGAAACATGAGTATTTTGATCAATAATAAATATACTTGGTTATGAGATATTTAATTTGAAAATATTAGTTATTTTAAAAAAAAATTCAATATTTGATCATAAAATAAAAAGTAACTCATCTAAATATTTGCAATCATATAAATTTCCTAGCAACAGCATTACTACCATTACACAATACCGTTAATGTTTTCATTCTCTTTCTCTATCTCTCTCTTCTCTCAACTCAACATGTTTCGCTAAATTTGAAAACCGGTTTGGTATCTGTCACTCTGCCTTTCTTTCTGCTCTGCCTCCTTCTGCATTTACAAAACCATATTTTTCAGTGCAGTACATCACTGAATCACAATAAATCCTTCATTATTACTTTTTTCCTTTTACATTTTTTTCTCAAACTACATAATGGAAACTCAAAATCTCACAATAGATGATACTATTACTACCTCATTATTATCTGATATTTTCAATGGAACAGAGTTTGCAGGAGAAGATCTCTTTTCCGTTTTGGAAAACCTGGAAAACTTCAATGATTTTCCTATCATTACCAATGACCAAAACTCAAAAACTTCTTTAACTACTCCACAAGACTCTGAAACTGAACCATCACAGAAATGCAAGAGACAGAAGATTGCTCCGAGTTCAGTTTTCAACGAACCAAACAGCGATGGACAACATCGAATGTCGCATATCACGGTCGAGCGAAACCGGAGAAAGCAAATGAATGAGCAGTTATCGATCTTGAAGTCACTCATGCCTTGCTTTTATGTCAAACGTGTAAGTCCATTTTAACTTTCGTATCATCTGTCTCTCATACACAGAGACACAGTGATCTTTTACAGAGAGTTCAAAAACTTATGTATAAAAATATAGTGCAACTAATTACTCTCGTCTATGATTCAGGGAGACCAAGCATCAATAGTCGAAGGTGTAATCGATTACATCAATGAGTTACATCAACTCCTACAATGCCTAGAATCCAAGAAACAAAGAAAAGTTTACAATGAAGTTCTAAGTCCAAGACTAGTTTCAAGTCCAAGGCCTTCACCATTAATAAGTCCAACAACTCCACATTCACAACAATGGTTGCAACAACATTACAATGGTCATCTTTCATCCGAACCTTCTCCAACTTCATCGGTTTCTTCCATCAACGACAACATCAACGAGCTTGTCGCGAACTCAACTTCCTCGGTTGCTGAAGTTGAGGTTAAGTTTTGTGGCTCACATTTGCTTTTGAAAACTGCTTCGTCGCGAATTCCAGGACAGGTTTTCAGAATAATATCTGTCCTTGAAGATCTAGCACTTGAAATTGTACATGTTAGTGTTAATACTGCTGATGAAACCATGTTAAACTCATTCACTATTAAGGTAACTTAATCTTAATCTTAAAAAAGTGTTAGTGTTGCTAATATTGTTTACATGTTCAATTTTTGTTAATTAATAATTATTATTTTTTCTTAAAATTTTTCTTGTCCAGATTGGAATTGAATGCCAACTCAGTGCTGAAGAACTTGCTCAACATATCCAACAAACATTTTGTTAAGGAAAGGCTATTGATATCTAGAGACAAGACAAAAATGAGGAATTTCCATTTTCTTTTTATTTGTCACTGTTTTTGTACCTTTCTGCAAGACAGTGGAGCAATAACATTTTTAATTTATTGTGTTTTTTCTATTAATTGACAACACTCACTACTCAGTACTGCCAGTGTAATTGATGTGCCTTAGTTTGGCATTTTGTTGTAACCGACCATTTTCAAAACTCATGAATTGTGTATGCTTGTTTTATCAACCACACCTGCCACGTCATCATTCTTCATCCCCTTCCATGTTTTCCAGAGTAAATTCTCCATATTTTTGGACCTTATTTCCATTTTAGCCCACATCATCACTCTATAATTTTTTAACGCACTACACAAAGTTACAAAAATATCTTTGAAAATCAGAAATATATTTTCAGGACATATCAGGATTTGATATAACGTTGGATAAAATCGGAAATCACATTTAATCTGTTTGTGTGTGGTGTATGATACGTATCGGAAATATATTTTCGATTTTCAGAAACATTTTAGGAAATACGTAGCATTTTTGTTTTCACTATAGGATGTAAAGAGAAATTCTCTATAAAAACAGCCTTATCCTTGAGACTAAAATCATAAAATTGACCCTTTAAATACACATCATCTTTCCAAATCACATCATTGGAAATGTTTTGCTAGTGAACCAAGCTTTAGCCTACTGTAGCACCTCCCTTGACCACCAGCCTACTGCCAACTATCTTTTGTGGATACATCTCTCTTGATGTATGTGTTAGACAACATCAACGTATCTAGAGGAGGGTGCATAGATACCCAATAAAATTTCAGCAAATTCTGGTTTTAAAAAATTAGTTTTCTAAGAGTTTGAGCGAAAGTGCTTTTTAAATAAGTCGTCTTTTACAAACGTTATTGGAAACTCGGATATGCAAACTTAAGAACAAATAGAGTATAGAATTGGAATGATAATTGAATTAATACGCTTGAATCACTTTACAACTTATTTAACATTTATAGAAAGTTACTAGTAAAGCTATTTCCAATGACAATATTCAATAGAACAAACAAAATCAATTTGTCAAACACTTGATGTGCAAGTGAATTTTAAGAATTTTCCTTTAAGTTGTATTGATGCACAAAAGCACTTATAATCAAAAGTTATTATAAGCAATATCAATACTTGATGTAAATCTAAAACAATTCGAAAAATCTCTTACAATTCAATTGATAACGCAATGCTATTTGACAAATGGATTGATGAATATTAAAGCAAGTAAAAACAATAAGAAAAGAGACGCGAGGATTTGTCTTCACAATTCCCAACTTTCATCTTCGCGTGTGGGTACGCATGCGTCTAATTCCAATGGGATTAGGATAATTCTCACTAGGAAAAAAAGTTGATACAAGAGAAGTGTTCAAGAGCAATTCCACAAGCCCTAATGCTTGTTATTGGTTCAACTCCTTATCTTCTTTTGATCTTGAGAAATACCAAGACATAATAGATGCAAATTGACTATTTGGATCTTGCTACTCCTTTACATACTTTATCTCTAAAGCTTTTGCGCGTCGCCAATTTCAACTATTGCAACACAAGATCTCAATTGTAATCCTTCGTTCTCTTGCTACTTCCTTTGTGTTCTTTATCTCTAAAGGATCCTTTGTGTTATTTATCTCCAAAGGACTTCACTTGGTCGTAATTACCTCTTGAATATCTTGCACGAAAATTCCCCAAATTAATCAATGATCTTGGAAGATAAACCCTCGATTTTTCCAGATGAAGACCCCTACAAATATCAATCTAATATCTCTGGCTACACAAGAACCTGGTCGGATGTTATCAAACCTCATCTAGATGGAACCCCAACAAAAGATCGTTACAATGGAATAATGTGTATGTATAGGTTGGAGGTTGAAGATGAAGAGAAAATATAGGCTAATTTTATGGTACCATCAAGTTATGAATGATGCATGAATGATGTATTTATAGTTGTTGAAAGTTAAGGCAAAAAGGACTTACTTGGAATTAAAAAGATTTACAAAATTGACCAAAATAACCAGTATGTGTCGACCTATATATTGTATGTGTCGACACATACATTAATTTTAAGCTATATGTATTGACCTGAAAGACTGTATGTGTCGACCCAACCAAGTCATAGGATACAGGCTTTAAAACAATAGTAAATGTGTCGACTTGAAGTATGTGTCGATACATAAAATAAGAATTTCTACAATTTCAGAAATGCTTCATTATTTGTCGACCTATAGGATTTATGTGTCGACCTAACCAAGTCAGAGGCTAAATGCTTATTTACTGAGTTGCATGTGTCGACCTGAAATGCAAATGTGTCGACACATGTAGTTCAAATTTGTGTAAAAACCACTTTAATGTATAAGTCAATTTTCAATATGATTCCAACATATCTTAAGATTTCTAAATGAATAGGGTGCCACACTAAATTTAGAGATAACGTCCAATTACTAAAATGCTAGATTTTCGCATTTTTGACATCATTCAAAACAAATATGAAGGCAAGTTTCACTCACAAACTCCCCATTTTTTATGATGGCAAAAAAATGCTACGAGACGATTGACGCTCCCCCTGAATATGTGCTTTACATCTTTATCATCACATATGTCTTCTCCCCGTTTTACAACATCAAAAAGATACATAGAACATGATTAGAAGTATCTCAATTATCACACCACAACAAATGTATATATATCATACAAAGATAATTTTTGCATAGAAATAGTGTACTTACACATACATCAATATATATGTAATGAAACTATTTTGAAAGCTAGATAAAGGGTAACTTAAAGGACAAATATCCAATGTTACATAATTAAGACAAAGTTGCACACATCATTAAACGCATAAAGAAAATCCAAGGGCATAAAAACAAATAACAATTTGTTCTTCAAAAGTATTGTATGACATGAAATGAAAAGACCATAAACCAAAACAAAATGATATGCAACACATCAACGTTCATCAAGGTCACCATGACGCCTTTGATATGTTTTACCACTTCTACGCATATCTTCATAAAAAGAAGCTGCTTCATCACTTTGTTGGACACCAATTGTGTGGAGATGGTTGATTCTTCCTTGGATAATTCTACTTGTCCATTGGATGTTTTCATGAAGAGACTGAAACTGTGCAGTAGCAGTCAAGGAAAATAACTCAAAGTTGGTCTCTTGAGTATCCAATCTTGTATTAACCAACCTGAATTGCTCTTTTGGAGCAGTCTGAAAATCAGTGCGCCATTGCACTTCAGCTGCACGTCATGCCACTTCTTCTTCATAACGTTGATTTTGTTGAAGCTGCATGTTTTGAAGAATAGTAAGAATTTCAGAATCATTTCCTGTATCAGAATCGTACATGTTATCATGTGAACCAACATCATATTTATAAGAACCCCCAACATAGCCTCTATAGTTTCCTCCCTGAGTAGTCCAAGAGTTTTGTTGCCAATTTTCCATTCAAGGTTGCTCATAGTCATTTTATTGAGCAACAATTGCATTCATCCAAATTTCATCTTCCTCATGATTTGCATCAGCCATTGGAATGTCTCCATGAGGAGCAACACTTATGTCTTCAGGAACGTCATCATTCCCTTGCTCATCAACTACATCATAATATTCATCAGGATCATCACAATTGTAAATTCTTCGCTTTGTCTGACGAACCTGGTAATAGTATAATTCTTTTTCTGAACCCCACTAGTATATTAGATTAGTCATGGTTCTCTTGGTGAATTACAACATTGCACCTGGATATACCAATGGAATATTTGGGAAGCCAATATTGAAGGAATTGAGTATTTTAGCTATTATGGACGGGTAGCTAAAAACAGTCCCTTTGTTGCATTTCTTGATGGTGAATATTCGAGAAACAAAATAGTATGGCTGATTTATATTAATCTGATTGAGAAGAAGATAAACCAGATGTATCTCACCATTATCGACTCTTGAGAAACCACCACCCTTAGGATGTAAAATGTGTGTGATAAACCAATGCAATATTCAGGGCAATCTCTTGAGACAACCCATAGTAATTGGTTCATTATTATTGTCGTCTCTTATTGCTTTAAACTATTCATTAGAGAGCATTCTCCACTTGAAATTAGGATGAATGCTAGAATCCCTAACCTTTGGTTTATTCCCTATTGTAATTCCAAAAATAGTGCGCCACATATCATTTGTAAAAGTATAAATTTTACCTCCAATCTCAAAGTTGAATTCAACATTGTCTCTCTTGCGTAATCCCGCATAAAAGATGTGAATCAAATCCTCATTGCATTGTTGAGTCAACTGCAGGAAGTAGTTTATTCCTTGATGATTTAGCCTGCTAATAACCTCAGGAATATGAATTTCTTCAGCTGTGCTCACTTTGTAGTAATGTTGTTTTGCAACAATTCTTCCGCGATATTTTTCTTCAAAGAATTCCATATTCTCTTCACTAACCAAGTCAAACACAGAATCATCATTGTTTGAGGAAGAACCCGTTTTCCCTTTACCTCTGCCAACCCCTTTGCCTCTTGAAATTTTGGGAGCCATGAACACTTCTACTAAATCATACTTCCACAGAAGGTGTTTGACAAAATTCTCCAACCAAACCAGTTGGAATTTGAGATAAATATGGTATCCTCACAAATGTAAATGATGTTATGGAAAAGATGGATGCACAAAATAATAAGTTCACACATAATATATAGGAATTTATGAATGCAAGATACAATGGATGAGTGTAGAAGAGATATGGACACAAAGTAGTGGGTTTTGAATTATGGTAATTTGGAATATTGAAGGAGAATGAGTGATAATTAAGTGAAAGGAATGGGTTTTTTGACCCAATTTATGTTGGGAGGAAATGTTTGACTGGAATTTTGATGAGGGAAGGAGGAATTTCGTTTAGGTTTATGAGACAAAAGAGTTGTGAAGGAAGATAGAAGATGAAAATGTGAGATTTTGACAAATTTTGAACACACGTGTCGAC